GTATCTGATTATGGGTAAAGGGAGAAGTGCTCCATCACTTAGCCAAGTTAGACCATAGTCAAGTCTGAAACATTCAGTTCTGGCCTGAAAATTCACAACTGGAGCATGATTCAAAAACTGTCCTGATGCCAATATCATAAAGTTTTTTTTCTTGCATGCACGTGGGATCTGCACATTCTCTTGAGCTACGAAGTGAGAAACGCTTGAAGCTTTCATGATGATGGGTGTTTGTGCAGAGTCTTTTTGCCCAAAAAAGTTTGCCCAAAAATGGAAATTCTGGCAGCATTTACTCACTCACATCTAGTTCTAAACTCAAACGACTATTTTATTGACCACAAAAGGTGAGTTAAGGTGAGTGTTATTGAATAGTATGGCTTCAGAAGACTTGGAATATAGAATACAAGTGATATGGACTCCTTTTATTGTGTTTTTTCAGTTTTTTTGGAGCCTTTCCTCACCTATTTACTTTTATTAAATTAACAAAGTATGGTCAGTACATTCTTCAGACTTTTTTGTTTTGTACTTCACAGAAGAAAGTAAGTCATACAAGTTTGGAATAGCATGAGGGTGAGTAATTGATGACAAAATGTTCATTTTTCGTTGAACTTTCCCTTTAATAAATCACAGTAGTAGGTCTCCATGCACTGGATGAACTACTGAAAGAGGTGCATGACACTCTCAACAACTCTTCGTCTGAGATAGTGCAACTTGTTGAAAAATCCCAGGGTCCTCTGTCACATTCTTTTAGATAATTTTATCTAAAACAGCATTGTTAAGAAAAACAGCTGCTGTGAAGAACGCGTTGAAAAATCCCAGGGTCCTCTGTCACATTCTTTTAGATAATTTTCTCTCTCCACATTTAGGTCAACAGCATTGTTAAGAAAAACAGCTGCTGTGAAGAACGCTTAGCAACTGCAATTACTCAAGAGGACGTGGGCAGCTGGATGGGATGGAATGGATGTGTCAAGATTTGCTGGCATGGACAAAAAACTGTTTTCACACACCAGATACTTCCACAAGCACATTTTTTTTTCAAGATTTCATCAGAACATCAGGCCTGTTTTGGGGAAATAACTCACTAACTCACTAGTTGTCCTACTGTGGAGTAAAAAGAGTGATTTGTGAAATTTCTCAGATTTTCCAATCTTTTTCTTCTTTCCATTTTCTTTAAACCCAGCTATATGTTAGAGCCAGATAGTCTGTTCCGTGTTTCCAGTGAAGCAAACAAAGCAGGTCCTTGCCTTTTGACAAATAGCACTGTGTTGCAGCAGTCTCTCTGAGCCTATTATAATCTGGAAAAGTACATGTACATTCTTGGCAATGGGTTCTGAGCGAAAACACAACCACATTGTAGATTCATCAGCAAACTCTGATAGAAGCTGATCTCGTTCTGAACCGAGAGCAGTGATGGAGGACTGAGGGTTTTGTCTTGAACATGAAGTCCTCAGACCTATCTGCAAGCTTATCCACCACAGACATTGGAAGCTTTCCTGATTGTCCTCACCCTGGGGTGCCTTTTCCAAAATGTCAAGCGACTGAATAAAGCTGTTTCTGTGATGAACACTTGCACTGTATGCAGTGATAGAAGTAAGAAGAAGTAACAGTTTAAGTCTAGGAAATGACCACCATGAAAAATGAAAAGTAAATGGAAATAGAATTCATTGAATTTATCATTTACTAATCAAACAGAAAGAATATGCATATTTTGAAAATGTATCTGATGTATACAGGTATTAGTTCTGTTTTGGAACCATATGGTTCCATTTTGGGAACCATATTAACTGGTAAAGAGAAGCAATCATTGGATTCACTATGTGTTTGTAGGGACAAAAATAAAATGATTTTGAATGAATCGGCTAACATTTTTTAATATTAAAATTAAATGCGATTAAAAATTCTTCTTTCTATAACCTGTGTTGCTGAAAAATGTATGAAACCCCAATCCCAAAATATGCATTAAAATGAGGATTTATTTGTGAGTATATTCTGAATGTGTCAAACAGGCCTGCCAAGTTGTGGCTGAAGTAGTCCACTTATTAAGAAGGCAACGCAAATCTTTTATCCAATTTTAATATACTCAACCCTTTCCTCATACTGCTGTATTTTTAAAAGGAATAATAAGCCTCTCATAAACAGTGTTATTCTTTTATAAATGTTATATCAACCCTGACAGACCATGACAACAGTTAAGGCCTAAGAACTGGTTCTCTCGAGCAGTTTTAATTATTATTATTATTTTTTAAAATCTCTAAAAGAAGAATGACGTTATTGTGTGGAAACAGTGGAGCTCTGTGTACTAGTGATCTCACTGCTCGCAGATGATGAGTTGAGGAGGTATATTGATCCGTATCTCTGAATTAACTAATATCTGTCACCTAAGGCAAGTATTTATTCAGTCTTTGGGCATGTTCTGTGTTTTGTCTTGTGATATTGGTCTGTCTGACTATGTGTTATTAACACAAGAGGCAGGATTGAGACATTCCTTCTTTAGTGCTGAATAAAAGATGTCAAAAATATGGAATGACTGAATCTACATAATGCACTAGGAGCGTTGTATGTAACTAAACAATTCAAAGGTTATCTGCTGCTCATTTTATGTTTGTTTCATTAGATGGGTGGCCCAAACAACACTGTTGGGAGATGTGAGTGAAGCTCAAAATCTGGAAACTAGGCACTGCTGACATTATCAAGGGCTTAACTTTGAGAAGTTCCAGAGACTGAGACTAAAGTTAGAAAGTTGTCAGTGTCATACACTGCTGTGTACCATGAGAGTGAGTTCTGCTCTTTACAGGCCATTGTGAATGTGTGTTCAGTGACTTGTATTGATAATTATTGTGATTGTGCAGAATGTTTATTGTAGATCCATCACTTATTCCTGCTCTTGAAGCTGGCTCTATTTGAATTCAGTCATGGATGTCACACCTACTGACTGTTTTGGCTTAAATCTCACCCTCTTCTGCCTACTCAGCTGAGACGGGGGTACTGAAGACAAAAAAGGCCAGCACCTTTGTAATGACATGAGAACAGAATTTTCTGTTCCCTTAAGCTCACTTGCCAGTTTGATGAACAAATGAGTTGTTTGAATTTTGGAAATCTACATTTTCATGGTTATTTTGTACTGAATCGGCAAGTTCTTTTTTGTCACAAATTAGCTTGTCAGTAGGCCAGAATCTATTTAACGGGGATTTCTGACAGCTGCTGAGACAGTCTCTGATTCCATTTTGACTGGGAAAAAATATTGTTTCTCACATGGACAGCTGCAGATATTCATGCCAAAGGGTTTAGGTTACATTTGAGCAACATAGAAGTTAGACAATACCTAAACACATTTAAAGGGATAGTTCACCCAGAAATCCATGCCATCATTTACTTACTCTCATGTTTTTCCAAATCCATATAACACATCCAAAATTCTTTTTATGTTCAGCACAAGTAAGTCAGATGTGAAGGTTAATGACAGGATTTTTCTATTTTTGAGTGAACTATCCCCTTAAATCTTTACATGAAGTGTATAAAATGGCAACAGATGTACACTGTATGTGAGAAACTTGCTCCATCCTCCAAATACAATTACCCTGGCTCCAATTCCCTCGTTGGTCATGTAACATGTGGCTAATAAATTGCCACAGAGCATTACTCCGTTCTGTACACATATATTACTGTTGATTCGAACAAACCCCAATACCCCAAATTCTCTGCTTCATTTAAGCCGCAGAGTCTTTGTTTTAATAACTTTGATTAGTGAGAGGACGCTGAAGGAACACTTGAGAAGATCCAGATGCTTTTCCTCTGCATGTCTCTCTCACAGCTTTACAGAGTATGGCATGTGGTGGATGGATGTGAGAAGGAAAGGGTGGGAGAAAGAGAGAGAGAGAAAGAGAGTATGACTGATCTCAAATTAAACTGGATGTAGTGAAAGAGAACGTAAAGAGAAAATAAAGCAAGACCAAGGCACACATGCAGTGTAGTGGATCTGAAGAAGCTTCTTGGTGCCCTTAGGCATTGGACAGGCATATGGGTATGATCAGAAGAGTGTATTGTGGTCTTGATGGAGACCATGTTGGACATGTTGAATACTGGCTGATGGCTTTGGGGAATATTTGAGTCGATTTAGCTCAGATGTTGCACCAACAAACTGCACAGTTAAGCTACATGAAGTTATTACATGAATATTGTTTGTTGGTGAAAGTATATTAAAAACGTTTTCTTTATTAATTCTTTTTTTATTCTATTTTCTAGTAAAAACACTTGAGCATTTAATGAAGAAATGCAAAAACATCAACATTTCAAGCACAAACATCTGTATCTTGTTAGATTTGTGCTTAAAACAATTTTTTAATGGAATAAGAATAATTACATTTCAATATATAATTTTTTGATATTGTAAGACTTATTATTTTAATATATTATTAATTTTATACAGTTGTTTGTAGTTTAGTTGTTTGGGGTCAGCAAGAAGAAATTAATACTTTTATTCAGCAAGGATAAATTAAATTAATCAAAAGTGACAGTTAAGACATTTATAATGTTACAAAAAGTTCTATTTCAAATAAATTCTGTTCTTTTGAACTTTCTATTCATCAAGGAATCCTAAAATCCACACAAATATTAAGCAGTACAACATTGAAAAAAAATTTTTTTTTTTATGAGCACCAAATCAGCATAATAGAATGATTTCTGAAGAAACATGTGACACTGAAGACTAGAGTAATGGCAGCTGAAAATTCAGCTTTGCCACATTAACATTTTAAAATAGGAAACCGATCACAGACTTCTTTCAAAAACATGAAAATAATCTCTATAGTAGTGTGTATAAATGAACAAATTTGCTTCTCTAATTAATTTCTTTTTACTGCAAAACAAAACAATACTTTTTTTTTTTGGTCATTCTAGTATCTGGGTTTGTGTATATATTTGTCGTCGTGCATTAGAACTGCAAGGGTCTGCTGTAAGTGGTATATAGTATTTAGTGTCAAAGGTTATGGATATATGTGTTGCAGATCCCCGGTGGACTCTTCAAATGTAAGTTGACAAGAAGAAAATAACAGCCAATCCCATGTGAAAGCCCCTCTCCCTTTGAAGGTCTGCTCTGGCCCAGCCAAAGAACAATCTGGTAGTGATTGAGAAGATGACATCATCAGAAAGGTTGGAGTTGAGGTGGCACAAGAGAGAGATAAAGAAAGAGAGGAGAGTGAGCGTGTGTGCCTGTGAGCATGTGCATGACAATGAGGGAGTCAACAAGAGCTGGCTGAAGGTCACATGACAGAAGAAAAAGAGTGGAAAAATGAACCAAATGTGCTTTCTCAAAACACCATGTGCCTTTTGGCAGCTGTTGTGGCCTTGTGTGTTACTGCATGGACTGTGCGCGTGAGTGGTGCGTGATTTTGCTAACTGTAGGTTACCCATCTACACCCCCTTACACAATTCAAACACGCCCACATAGATAATAAACCAAACAATATTACAAACGTCTTTCACTTGTCATTTTCAAATGAATAAATAGTCCTTAAGACACAAATGCCAGTCCTAGACTACAGTTCAAAAGTATCAGCAACCTTGAAATTTATGTATTGGAGACTTGAAATGCACCTCGGCTAGACAATGGCACACTGTATGAGTTTCCTGTTGTAAAGTCATCGATTTAAAGTACATTTGCAAATGCAAATGACATGCAGATTATGTAATTATCATTTGCATGTCTCAAAATAATCTCGAGATAATAGGAAAATGATATTAAAACCACAACAACAAGGAGTTTTTTAAACTTTTGTCAAGATCATGAGAAAATAATGTTTAATCCACGGCATTTTAGGGCTACCATAGTATAACATCAAACCTCACCTGCTTAACCATATCTGCAGCCTGAACCTCAGATTGATCCTGCTCGGAAAATAGAAAGCTCAATGTCTGAGATCCATGAATATTACAATGAGCTGAGTTTGTGTGCTGACTTCAAACGAGGAAATCCTCCTGGGGTTTTTTGCCCTGGTGCCTTTTGTACTCCAGGTAAACTTTAAAGCAGTACTTGCACGTGTGGCACTTTGAAGAGGAACTCTAAGACTCATGCAATGTGAGCTGGATTGTTTTGAGTCTTCCGTTGCATCATTCTTGCACCATCCCTTTTGCTTTTGTTAAATTCTCAGTGACATTCAATACCCTTTCAAAGCCTGTTCTCTGCCATGAAAAGGTCAGGCACTGAGGTGTGTGGTTAGCACGTATATGAGTTGTGTGTTTGTCTTTGTGTCTTACATACCCATTTCCAGCTGGTCAGCCCTTCAAACACGTCATTGGCCAGACTCACCACATCACCGCATGCAGTTCTTGACATTTAATGGAAACAGAGAAACCCATACTTGCTTCAAAGTGCATTGCCGCTGCAGTGGTTCTCTCAGCCATCACTTTAGCTACCTCACACTAATTCACACATTACACAGAAGAACAGCTTGCATAGCAGCAAGAATAGCAGTTTCGGATGGCCTTTTTTAATTAAAGATTTAGATCATATTCATTCAAGTCATAAAAGGCCATTTCAGAGGATTTGCATATAAAATTTTGCCTAGTTTTCATCCTAAAAGAATGTGTACAATCGTAATTAGTAGATGATAACCTGGACATTCTAGGTGGAACTGTTCACATCCTTGGGCTTGGAATTACGCATGTCTGTGGCAACACTATTAATGGCAAAATAAACATGAGTAATTTGAATAATCAATAGACAAAACCCCAATACATGAAGTAACAATTGTTATGCAAATTTTTTATTAATAAACTTTAAAAGTTTATTTTTTTTATTTAGCAGGGCATTACACATTATATTAAACTCCACTGTATGTCTCTCATTTATTTTCTTTTTATTCTAGCATTAAGACAAACAATAAATAAAAAATAGAATTAATAAATAACTTTATTTTACTTCTGAAGTCACCATTTTGAGTGTTTCCTCATAACGTTGAACCACATGGTGAAAACTGAGTTTACAAGGACATGAATGCTTTTTGAAAGTCATCTCATAATTACTGTAAGTCCAACATGGCATGAACGCACCTTATGTACGCACTTAAAGTTTCAAACATTGGAAAAAAATACATTTACATTTACATTTAGTCATTTAGCAGGCGCTTTTATCCAAAGCGACTTACAAATGAGGACAATAAAAGCAGTCAAAACTAACAAAAGAGCAACAATATATAAGTGCAAATGACAAGTCTCGGTTAGCCTAACGCAGTACACGTAAGGTGTGTACAGGTATACAAATCTGCAGCAACTGCGTGATGCTATCATGTCAATATGGACCAAAATCTCTAATGAATGTTTCCAACACCTTGTTGAATCTATGCCACGAAGAATTAAGGCAGTTCTGAAGGCAAAAGGGGGTCCAACCCGGTACTAGCAAGCTGTACCTAATAAAGTGGCCAGTGAGTGTATATATATATATATTATACACACACATATACACACACACAGAAAGAAAAACAAGTAGATAGAATAAAAAAAATAGAAAGCTAGTGTTTTTTTTTTGTTGTTGTTGTTGTTTGTTTTGTTTTTTTTAAATAAAAAAAAAGATATATATAGATAAAGTAGAATTAAAATAGAATAGAAAGTGCTAGAGTTAGAGTGTCAAATAAAGGTGGAACAGATGTGTTTTTAGTCGTTTCTTGAAGATGG